GAATGGAATCTACTTCAGTACATAAAAGTTGTATCTGGATACTTAATGAAAAACATAATGCAGGAAGTGCTACTGAAAAATCGTGCTAAAGGGGCCAGTCCAGGGAAGAGGTAGGTGAAGTAATTAATATTCACTGAGGACCTACTATATATATTCAGGCACTACAAATGGATTGTATAATTTATTGCCACAAATTCTGAGATAGGTATTATTAACTAAGTTTACAGATGCAAAAACAGGTTTAACAAAGTTAAGTATTTTGGCAAAAGATACAGAAATCTAACAACTGAGCCTGTCTCCAACCCCATAAAACACTATTCTAGAGGTGGGAAAAAATGATGCTCAGAGAAGTTAAGTAACTCCAAGTCCCAAGGTTAGTGAAGAGAGGATCTAAAATTCATACTCAGACTTGGGTGACTTCAGAGCCAAAGCTGTTAACTAATACACAAAATTATATATTGAACTTGAAATGAGGTCTTCTGCTTCTAAATGCTATTTTCTTTAAGACAACTCCAGAGTCTTAAAAACAGGAAGCAAAGTGACAGAATTAAGAAAACGCTTCATGTTTTTCTACTTGAGACTGGATGTGTCGTAAATATTTTTGCAGAAATTTTTCAAGAAAACTTTTGTGAGTGAAATGTGTCAGTGGAAAATATGGACAAGTAATTACCCATAAGGGAACACTACCATATATTGCTATTAGCATTTTGCTCTTCTTAGAAAATGGGGCAAACCTGTTGAGTTAATCTTTAATATACAAAATAAATTCAGTACTATCACTGCAATAAAATTTCTTTTTCTGAACTATGTATGGTTGAGATGGTAATTAGATCAAATTCTTAATATTGATGTTTTGCTGGTAGTTTCAAGAGACTCAGGAGTCCAATTAAATTCATCAAAAGGTTCAGGGAAAATCTGTTCTTCACTCAACTAAATCATGCAAATATAAAACAAGTCACTTAATCTTCAATGTAAAGAAAAATCCTGGTTAGAAACAAGTAGATTAAATAGAAATGAGTTTAAAATATTTACATCAGAATTAATGATAATTAGCATCAACTATTTATTGCGTAATTAGTTCTATGTGCCATTTACAGTACTATATAATGGCCATGTACCAAGTGATTTTACATGCATTCCCTCATGTAATTCTTATAATAAGCAAAAGAAATATGTAAAAAATTTCCATTTACACGTGAGAAAACCAAGGTTTAGAAAAGTTAAGTAACTTGTCGAAGGTCTACAGCTAGTAACAAGCAGACCAGAGATTTAAATCAGGAGGAATTTAGTGATGCTATGAAACATTAATACTATAGGGAAAAAATGTGGGGGAGATTCATGGAAGAAGGATAACCTTTAAAGTAGTCGCTTATCCCCTTCAGCATAAAGATGGAAAAAAATAATAGCAATATGAAGTCCTGAGAAAATATGAAGGACATAAATGTTTAAGGTTTTGTGAGGTTTAGGACAAAATAAAACTGGAAAAAAAAATCATTCCATATAGAAGAAACTAAAGGTTGTAGATTAAACAGAATCCAAAATTGTGAGGAAAGAATGAAAAATTAGTTTAGAAATAACTATGGACATAGTTCTTGGTACAAAAGTTGTAATCCACAGAAACCTAAAAGGAAGACCCGAGGGCTACAAAAGGCAGAGCCCCCCTGCCCCCAAGATGTACGTGGGCGTCACAGCTGAAGCCCCTGGCTAAATGTGTTTTTTATTTTTATTATTACTTTTATTTATTTATTTAATCCTCACCCGAGGACATTTTTGCATTTATCTTCAGATAGAGCGGGAGGGAGAAAGGGAGAAAGAGAGAGAGAGAAACATCTATGTGAGAGAAACACATCAACTGGGTGCCACCCACACAACTCCAATTGGGCCGGGGACAAACTGCAACCGAGGTTCGTGCCCTTAGCGGGAACCAAACCTGGGTCTCTCTGGACCGCAGGCCGACGCTCTAACTGCTGAGCCAAACCGGCCAGGGCTAAATGTGGTTTTTTAATTAGTGGAAGAAGTTATGTTCAAATGTGCCATTTCACTAACAGATGAGTCTCAGGAGTCTTATCCAAAGTGGGAGGTTTATTTACTCTCTTTGAAGAAAAATTTGCATTTGTCCTTTCTCTCCAAGTGAAGGGCGTGGTCCTGGCTGAGAAACGACTCCCCTTTTCTTCTGCAAGCTGACGTCAGTGCCTGGGTCACAGCTGACGAGGCTGGCTCGGCGCTTGGTCCCCAGGTCATGATGCACTTAGCAGGGCCTAACGCTCTCTGAAGGTGGACATCACCAATGTCTGCTCAGAGGGTCTCGGGCCAGGACAAGCGTTCTGGAACATGCTTTGCGGGTTTCCCCTTCCTGTAATGATGGGGTCCTGCATCTCATGTTCTCATATCCTATAAAGAGTCTTTATCTGATATGAGCAAGGTTGGCTGGTTGTTCTCACCAAGCACCATAACGCTGGTGCCACACACAGATGCTTCTGGGAATGCAAAGTGTTCCTTACGAATGCGGTGTGGTGTCATAACTGACCAGGCTTCTCCCACAGGATAATTCAGTGGGAAAAGGTCTATTTTCCTTATCACCATTTCACTTTTCTTCTTTTTTTTTAATTGACTGATTTGTGAGAGAGAAACACTACTCAGCTGCCTCCTATACACGCCCCATCCAGGGATCGGATCCGCAACCTTTTTGGTGTACGGGATGACTCCAGCCAACCTAGCCGCCAGTCTAAGGTGAACTACAGAAACAACTTGAGTAGCTGTGTCACTCAGTCATGCAAGGGCATAGGCGATGACAGCCGGGAAGGGCTGCTGCAGTGCCAGGACCCTGCCTGCCCTGGCGCCATGCCCTCTGTCGGCACACCGGGCTCCCCAGAGAGGCTCCGTTCAGGTCGGTCCTTGGCAGCTCCTCCTCGGGGTTTCCACCGCAATGATGTCAAAAGTCACATCCACAACCACTCTTGGGCATGGCTTCCATCTCGACTTCCTAGAGATTTCACTGACACGTCCTGCTCCGTGAGGCCTGCTGGGGGCAGCCTGTGGGGCTGGTCATGCAGCAAGGACGCCCCATGCCACGTGCACACACAGAGTAAGCAAGCGTGGACTCCGGGTCAGAAATGCTCACCATACATGTCTAGGCTGAGGCCTGGAAAAAGTACTTGGAAAAGCTTCCTGGGTGAGTTATACATCCACTGCCGGGAAAGGACTCGAGTATTGCAGAGTATCAGAGTAAATGACTACTCCTTGGAAAAAGTACACACTTGCAGAAAATTCTTCATAGCATAACAAACAGTCAAATGTAACATTATTCGAAGAAACTAATAAACACGCAATTTTCTCTACTTTGCCTGCTCATCCCATCGCCGCATCGGAGAGCAAGGCACACGGAGAGCAAAGCACACGAGGGGAGCCGGGACCTGCTGTCACCGCCCCGTCTCCTGACTGCAACCAAACTGGCTGCAGAGTCCGCACAGTGCCTGGGCTTCACCTTTAATAACACGAGGTGCCTTTCCTCGGCATACTCTAAGTGCCATGGATTGACAGAAATTAAGTTTCTCAGCTTTTTTGGCATCCTACATAAAACAATTAAAAGAAATACAAATACTCATTTATAAACTAAAACGCAAATCATACCGAACCATGATTCTCAATCCTAGCGTGGGGAAAAGAGAAAAACATAATTTCACCTTTCTTGGGTAGACTTAACCTTAGATACGATTACTCTGATAATTTCACATTTTCAAAACCCAAACTGGCTGGCTCTCCGTCGTGAAGAACAAAAGGAAGACACTGGAAACTTGACTTGCGCTTTGTATTGCTCTTGGTGCCCCGGGAGCCACTGCTGTTGAGAATTCGTTTGCACTGCAGGGGGGACTCAGGCAGATGCTCCTGCTGCGCAGATACGCTCCTCGCATCTCTTCCAGTCCTTTAGCACATTTATTTGTAATGAGTGTGGGAAGAGATACCTGAAAATGTGCCTCTGCCCACATGAGAAGACAGAGGTAGGGCTGAAGAGCCAACTCTTGCATCAGAGCCCCACGATCTGGCCTCCCTGCTATGGCATCAGTCCAGTCCCCCAGAGAAAGCCTGTATTGTTGCCGTCCCCCATGTAGAACAGTCTCTTAAAATAACTGCACAGTTCGTGCGTGGGAAAGAGGTAAGGTACGATGAAATTTTATTTTCTATCAATGTATCGCTAGTACTAACCCAGCAGTTTTCAAAATCTCTGAGAAAGGAAATATAGGACCTTTACTTCTTAATTAGAGAGAAGGATGGGTTAAGCTATTAGAAGGACTCCCTAGAGAAACAGGAAGTGGAACATTTATTCTCTAAGAGAAGCTGAAGAAGGAACATGCTCAAGAAGCAAACTTGTGCCTAATTCATAAAATGACCAAGTATAATCTGGCTCACCAATTGTATTATGCTTTAGTAAAAGTCTCGAGTTTGGTTATAAGGACGTGGTTTCAGGATAAATTTTCAACATCTTCCCACCTCCAATTGTGACATGGTGGAAATCTTACGAGATACTCATGACAACTGTAGTGACCAAATATTATTTTATCATTTAATTTTCCCTTTCAAGTTTTTCTTATTTGAAAAAGTTAAATTTTGCAGAATTCAAAAGATGATGCAAAGTTGATCAGACACTTAACAGTCGATTATATGCGAAAATATTGCAAATGAAGTAAAAATCATGATTATTAGATAAACCAAGAGAAAAAGAAATTTTGATGAATTCAACAAAGCTTAAAACCCATTCTGTTATATGTATATGCACATATTATATATATAATAAAACTATACTCTGCATGGGAACAGGGACCATGTCTTATATCTCCTTTGTGAAATCTATGCTGAACACAGAGCAGGTGCTCAAAAATTTGCTTAACTGAGTTTAAAATATCTGGGCAAATGAGATAGCTATTTTACATCAATCCTTAAATCCGATTAACCGCTGAAATTCTGTTTATTAGTTACAAATGAAAGCAGTCACATCATATTACCTGTAAGGATAGCCGTGGTACTTGGAACGGAATATGGACAGGAGAAAGCTGAAGAAGAAGACCACCAGGCCTAACCCCACTAGGCAAATTACTAGAGAGACAGAAAATACCATTAGTGTCTAGACCCAGGCAACCCAAATGTCTCCAAAAAAAAAAAAATGCATTCAATTAATTACAGTGTACTTACATTTAATAGTTCATGGTACATACAGGTACAACAAATCAGGTCATCCAAAATGCAATGTATTCATTATTTTCCACGTTCTCCTCAATGAAAATGTATATTTTGGGTATGAAAACAACCAAAGTGACTGATCTAAGTCTTCTGGTGGTTTTCATCTCTTAAAGAGTTCCTACAGGTACTAAAATGCCCCAGGGGGATAAAAACAAAAAAACATATGTGACAAATCACAAACAAATTTATCAGCCCCTGCATTATGAAAAAAATGGCTATTATTATTAGAGACATTTGCATTATTGGAATGCTAAAAATAATTTTATTCTCAGGGCCATGCAATATTTATGAAAAAATATAATTTTAGATTATTGCATCAGTAAAAGCCTGTTAGTTACAAATAATTCATTCTAGTGTATAGAAAGCTAAGAATAAAAGTTTGGAGAGTAAAATACAGTAAAACCTCGATATAATGGACTAATTCAGGCCAGGAGGTGTCTGTTAAAGCTGAAAGTCTGTTATATAATAAAGTAAGTTTTATAAATGTGTATGTTAAAAATTGACAAATTAGTTAGTTTACCTGAATTATGTAGACACATTTGTGTAATTAAAATTAAGTATGAAAAGTTTAATTTCACAGAAAAGTTTTCTATATGTATTACCGTAATTTTAAATTTCTACTGAATAGGTCTAGTAAATGAGTACATTCACCAGTCACCTCGAGTAAACAAATGCACTCAGGTAGGCGTGGCTTACTGTGCTTGGGGACATCCACAGGCACTGGTTAAAACCCAGAGAAAGTCACACCGTGCCATAACAGAACCAATTACTGCTCTCGATTTGGTGTGATCACATGCCAATCATTTGCCGAACACTGTTTACAATGTTGACTCTTGGATTTAAATATGTAGACTACAGTTGTAGATATGCAATATTTATTTATGTTGGTGAAATTGTTATAGTGTTTCTTCTAACATATAACCTATTAGCTAAAATGTGTTAAAAATAACAGTGACGCTCTGGCCGGTTTTGCTCAGTGGTTAGAGCATTGGTCCATGGACCAGAGAGGCCCGGGTTCAGTTCCCGCTAAGGGAACATACCTCGGTTGCAGTTTGTCCCCAGCCCTGGCTGGGGTCGTGTGGGTGGCAGCAAATCGATGTCTCTCTCTCACATCGAGGTTTCTCTCCCTCTCTCCCTCCCACTCTATCTGGAGATAAATGTAAAAATATCCTCAGGTGAGGATAAAAAAAATAATAATAATAATAGTGAATAAATAAAAAGTAACCAGTTAATTTAAGCAAAACTTGGTTAAAAGCATTTTAAAATTAACAGGGTGTTAATTTTCACTTATGACATATGGACCAGAAATTTTGTCCATGAAATCTGAAGTCTGTTAAATCGAGGGTTTACTGTAATATAGTCTCTGAGAGTCAAAGGGGGAGAAAATCCCCCTAAACAGCAGGTAATAGTGTCAAAGTACTATTGTTTATTTGTTTTAACAGTGGAACAGGGGCTTATGTTAGAGTGGAATGTGCTATGCTGTGGTCTAGGTTTTCAACACTACTTTGTCCAAGGCAAGTTGACAACAGGAAAACTATGTTTTATTTTCCTTTTTATTATGGTCGGGAAGGCTTTACTTTAAAGTATATGAGTAATAAAATATGTATATATAAAACATAAAAATATGCAAATGTACTTGCATATATATTTTTATATATCTAATTCAAGATTTATTGCCATTAGTAAAACATGGATATGTTTGTAAAATGTAAATGCTTAAAAAAATGAGCATATTAAATGCAAGTATGTTTGAAATAAAAGAAAATATACTTAAAGAAATTGAAATTTATTTAGATCTGGTCTATAAATAATAAAAATTAGAGTTATCTCTTAAGAAATATCTAAACATTTCTTAAGACTAAAATATTTACTTAATACTTGAGCACTGAAAAATATCTGAAATTATTATAAAAGGAAAAGACAAGAAAAAAGACAAGAAACATACTAAGGGAGAGGAAACAAAGGAACATTAAAGTTCTATATGCTTCTATATTATATGTATATGCTTTTAAAATTATTCTACCATATAAATGAGGCAAGTTTCATTATAATCCTAGAAATCGGGGAGTGGATATGGTATAGTTTCTCCAAATCTGGCCTAAAAATCTGTCAGTTTCTATTCATCTCTGTCGAAATATCATTCTCTCCGTTTGAGTACAAATTAAGTCATAAGCGCTTAATAGCATTCAGTTGCAGCCTCTGTGACATTTGATTTCAGACAACAGTCATACACTTGGACGGAAATAAAGAAAAAAAGGAGGCGCTCAATATCACAAAATGAAAAACACTTTTAAACATCACTGTGGAATATTCAAGCAGACACCAGGCCCGAGATACAGCATAGGAACAACTTGGCTTGCAACAGTCTCCCCAAACCCAGACTTAATTACACGGTCTTTTACTTTATACCTTCCCACATTTAGTATTTTTATCAAATATTTGTTTTCCTCTACATTTCTTTTTTTAAAAAGCTTTTCAGAAGCTGAGTAAACCACTTTGCACTCTCTTCGCCTCTCTTAGTAGCCTCATTTGGCCATGCTCAGTGGGAAAGGAGGCTCCAAATATGTGAGCATGTGAAACAATATATTGACTTGATTCTCTGCAGTGGAACACAATAATGCAACCCAAGTACCTGCACTTGGGGAAGGGCGGGGACAGCAGTGTGTGTGGGGGTAGGGGTGGGGGAGCGGCAATTCCTATGTGAACCACTGCAGCCCGCCTCGGACAACACACCTGGAGGAAGACAGCACTGGACTGACACAGGAGCACTGTGACCTGGTCAATAACAACTGCAGTGGTTGTATTACTTCCAAAATAAAAGCCCCACTACAATAAAGAAGGAATAATTAAAAAATATATTTCCTCTTTCTCTCTCTCTTCCTCTCTCTCTCTCTCTCTCACACACACACACACACACACACACACATGAATAAATAATTTGATGGTGGAAATTGGAGAATGATAGAGATATCTACGAAGAGGGAAGTCGAAATTAGTGATTTTTTAAACTCAATATCATAGACATTATGAGATTAAAATATTAATACAGCCCGGCCGGTGTGGCTCAGTGGCTGAGCATCGACCCAGGCACCAAGAAGTCACCAGTTCGATTCCCAGTCAGTGCACATGCCCAGGTTGTGGGCCCCGATCCCCAGTGGGGGGCGTGCAGGAGGCAGCCAATCAATGTTCTCTCTCATCGATGTTTCTCTCTCTCTCTCCCTCTCTAAAATCAATAAAGAAAAAAAGGTTAAAAAAATATTAATACACACTTAGTACTATTACTTACACTGATATGACAGGACATGTGATAAATATATCATCACATAAGATTTGTCCTCATAAATATTATTTGTGAATCCCCAAAGCATCATACTGTTTACTCAAAAGATATATCTTACAATGCTTTATCTGAACAATGCTTAACTAACAAAGGAATGTGTTTGCTTCTCAGTTTCTTTACGAGGGTGGATAGAGAACATCGTTGAAAACAGGGTAAACTAAACTGTACGTTACATCCAAAACATTTCAACACTTAAGATACGTAAGTATTTAGAAATCACTATGGTGTACTAACATACATGTCACCCTAGCTGCAATTCCATAAAGAAAACCAGTCTTCTATTTTAAACTTTTAAGTAATTATTCTTTAAACTTCCTAATGAATTGTTAGTCTTACTCAGGGACCTGTGCTCCTCCTACATAAATTCTGGGTTTTAAAAAGGGTTCAGAAATGCATTCTCGTGGCATAGAGGACATATTGTTTGACCATAAAACTTCTAAGGCTCCCCCACAACTGCCCATCTCTCCCCGTGGGGTGCCCATTACTCGGGAGGCGAGAGCTCCGGTGGGGATGGGCCAGAGCAGCCCTGGCCAGGGGGAGGAGCAGTCTCCTTCAAGTGCAAGTACACAGAAAGTCACCCAATCCCATTTGGAAGAAATATATTTTTAATTATTCGCACACATCTAAGAAATAGAAGAAAGTAAAAAGCACTGCAACCTTCCTCAAACCAGAACATTTCTTTAGAAGTTTGTTTACAAAGTACTTTTACATTTCCCATTTGACTTAAATGAATCGTAAGTCTAAAACAACATTACAAATATACCAACTCAGAGACTTACTCCGTCTTTTTCCAACATCTCCTTTGGATGTTGCTGCTTCATTTAGAAGAACCATCCCCATGGTGATAGCAGCATCTATAGTAATTGTCAAGGAAACAGGAGGAACAGATGCAAATGAAATCTTTTAATTTTTCTGGATCTGAGCACAATGTGTTCTTTTCCAGAATGTTCAAATTACAAATGCACAGAGGTAAACGTGATTTATTCTCTTCATAGAAAATAAACGTATCGTTCTTTGTGTATTTAAATCTACCTTAATTTTTTAAACATATAACCTAAAACCTTGTGAGATTTTGCAGGTAATTGAAATGCTCTGAAATTCCAGTGCATTTAATTTATACGGAGTCTCAAAACCAATCATGACATTTCATGTTATACATAAGGATACGCGCTAGAGTCACAAAGACACACTACATTGGCAAATCATAGAAAATTAAAATATATTCAGCATAAAACCAAGCAAGTTTGGTCAGAAGCCTAATGGAATATGAGAAAAAGTGGCTCTCAGCCCCACGCAATACCATCACCCCCACCCTCGACCCCACTCCCCACCCAAAATGCATATATAGCATTTAATACCACTCAACTTTTAGGGATCCATTGTACTCAGTTAGAAAGCAAATTAAATTTGGATAATTACTAAAATATTGAGTTTCAATTACACAGTGATGGCCTGAGAGAATAATGTAAGAGAATGAATGTTTCATGCTACCAGTATGATACATCTGTGGACATTAAGGGTTCATTATTCTTAAGGTGTTTTGGAGAGTCTACTGATATAAATCCCCTGGAGTTTGTAGTGATAGGACAGAGCTAATAATGATAGGAAAAATTTTAAAGTTTGTAAGTAATTTCTGTGTCAGTAATGTTCGGTAGTGATAGGACAGAGCTAATAATGATAGAAAAAATTTTAAAGTTTGTAAGTAATTTCTGTGTCGGTAATGTTCCTATGTAGGTAATTTTTACTGCTTAGGTCTCTGGAGCAGACAGATGAAACTGCTGTTAAGTCCTTAATAAGAAGTTAAGTTAGGATTCGCCTTTCATCTTTCTCGGGCAACACCCTTTTTACTCATGTATAAATTTTAAGCTACACATTTAATTGTACATATTTGATCTGCTAAAAATAAATACAGGATTCTAAATTTTAATTATGACACACCTGCAAATATATGAAATATAAATGACTTTTTATATGACCTTATGTAGGTATTATAAATAAAAATATTAATTTTCTGACTTGGTCTGCTAAGCAGCTTCTGAAATTTCATTTATAAAATCATGGGGGGAGTGGCACGATTTTCTGGGGAAAACATGATTTACAAAATTCAACGGACCAAAGACTTAACCGAAAGGGCTGATGCTATGGGACCCTGCAGGCAGCTGGCTAAGCACTGTCACGGATTCAGCCCTCGCATCAAGCCCCATAGCAACGCTGTGAAGTGGGTACCGGTTTATTCTTGTTTATAAACTGTGATAATACAACTTGCAGAAGAAGTTAAATAACTGGGACAAGGTGTTTAGTGCTGGAGCCAGAATTCAAGCCGAGGCTATCAGAGCACAAAGCCCATTTGCTTTTTTTAAAAATTTATCTTTATTGTTGAAAGTATTGCAGAAGTCCCTCCTTTTTTCCCCATTGACACCGTCCCCCCTACAACCCCACCTTCACTGCACTGCTGTCTGTGCACACTGGTTATGCATATAAGTTCATTGGTTTATCTCTTTCCATCCCACCCCTCCCTTCCCTCTGAGGTCTGTCAGTCTGTTCCCTTCTTCTATGCTCTGGATCTGCTTTGTTCATCAGTTTATTTTAACTATTATGCAATAGAAGCCATCTCTCTTTTTTTCTTTAAAATAAATATATTTGACATATAACACTGTATAAATTTAAGGCATATAACATGTTAATTTTATACACTTGTATACTGTACTGTAATATAATTGCCATTGTAGTGACATTTAGCACCTCTATCATGTTATATATAATTGAATAATTAAGTTCAATACTCTTAGAAAGTTTGATTATAGTATAATATTGATGTCAATATTCAATATACTGTGCATCAGATCTCTGACTTATAGAACACCTGTTGTTACTTTGTGTCCTTAAACATTTGTCTTATCCTCCAGCCCCTCCAGCCCCTAGTAACCACCATTTTATTCTGTTTTGACAAGTTTGGCTTTTTTAGATTCCACATATAAGTGATATTATGACCTTGTCATTCTGTGTGTCTGACTTATCTCACTGGACACGTGTTCAAGGTCCATCTATGTTGTTGCAAATAGCAGGATGTCTCCCTTTTTCATGGCTGAATAACATTCCTCTGTATAAGCGTGTGTGCGTTATCACATTTTCTTCATCCATCTATTGATGGACACACACACTGTTTCCATATTGTAAATAATGCTGCAATAAACATGGGGGTGCATATATCTTTTTAAATTAGTGTCTTTGTTTTCTTCAGATAAATACTCAAAAGTGGGATTGTTGGATCATGTGGTAGTTATATTTTTCATTTATTGAGACATCTCCATACTGTTTTCCATAGTAGTTGCACTAATTTACACTCCTACCTATAGCACATACTGTGGTACATGAAGGTTCCCTTTTCTCCACTGCCTCACCAACACTTGTTATATCTCGTCTTTTTAATGATATCCAGTCTAACAGGTGTGAGGTAATATTTCATTGTGGTTTTGATTTACATTTCCCTGAAAATTAGTGATGTTGAACATCTTTTCATGTACCTGTTGACCTTTGGATGTCTTCTTGGGAATAATGTCTATTCAGTTCTTCAGCCCATTTTAACTGGATTTTTAAAATATGCTGAGTTGCAGGGATTCTTTATATACATTGGATATTAACCCCTTATCTAGTATATGGTTTGTAAAAATTTACCCTATTCTGTAGATTGCCTTTTTATTTTGTTACTTGTTTCTTTTGCTGTGTAGAGCTTTTAAATTTTAAATAGTCCCATTTGTTGATTTTGGATCTTGGTAACATATCCAAAAAATCACTGCCAACACCAATGTCGATGAGCTTTTTCCTTATGTTTTCTTCTAGGAGTTTTATAGTATCAGATGCTATGTTTAAGTCTTTCATCCATTTTGTGTTAATTTTTGTGAGTGGTGTAAGAACAGAGGTCTAGTTTAATTCTTCCTCATGTGTTTATCCAGTTTCGTCAACACCGTTTGTTGAAGAGACTCTCCACATTGAGTATTCTTGGCTTTCTTGTCAATTATCATTTGACTGTATATACAGGGGTTTAATTTTGTTCCACTGGTCTATGTGTCTACTTTTGTGCTAGTACTATACTGTTTTTATGCTTTCTAGTAGAGTCTGAAATCTGGAAATGTGATAACTCTAACTTTGTTCTTTTTCCTTAGGATTGCTTTGGCGACGCTTTGGGCCTTTTGTGGTCCTGTATGGAATTTTGGAACTGTTTCTTCTATTATGGAAATATGTTTGGTATAATTTGATGGTACTTACACTGAATTTGTAGATGGCTTTTGGAAGATGGCATTTTAACAATACTAATTGCTCTGATTGATGAACACGGCTGTCTTTCCACTTGTGTTTCATTCAATTTCTTTCGGCAGTCTTGTAGTTTTTGTTCAGATCTTTCACTTCCCTGGTTAAATTTATTCCTAAGTATTTCTTTTTATTTTTTTATGCTATTGTGAATGGGGCAATTTTCTTTTCTTTTTCTGAGATGTTTTATCAATGGTGTATAGAAATGTAACTAATTATGTATCCTGCAACTTTGCTGAAATCATTGATTAGTTCCATTGGTTGAATCGTTGGGATTTTCTACATATAAGATCATATCAATTGCAAATTGCAACAAATTTACTTCTTCCTTTCCAATTTGGATGCCTTTTATTTCTTTTGTCCTGCCTAAATGCTCTAGCCAGGACTTCCAGTATTATCCTGAATGAGAGGGCTGAGAGTGGGCATCCTTGTTTTTGTTCTTGATCTTGGAAAATATTTCCATTTTTCTCCTTTAATTTTTCTACACTGTTCGCTGTGGGTTTCTCACATATGGCCTTTATTGTGTTCAAGTATGTTCTGACCATAGCCAGTCTGCTGAGGGTTTTTATCATGAAAGGATGTTGCATTTCTGTCAAATCTTTTTCTGTACCTACTGATATGGTCATGTGATTTTTTTCTTTCATTTTATCAATGTTCTATATTACATGTATTGATTTTCATATGTTGAACCATGCCTGCATCCCAGGGACAGATCTTATTTGGTCATGGTGTACAATCCTTTTTATGTGCTCTTGAATTTGGTTTGATAATATTTTGTTAAGAAATTTTGCATCTATATACATCAGGATATTGATCTATAATTTTTTTTGTGTGGCGTCCCTATATGATTTTGGTAGCAGGGTAATAATGGCCTCACAGAATGAGTTTGGAAGTGTTCCTTACTCGTCAGAGTATTGAAATAATTTGAGAAGGACTGGTATTAATTCTTCTTTGAAAGTTTGGTAGAATTCTTGAGTGATTATTTTCTGTGTTGGAAGGTTTCTGATTACAGATTCCATATCTCTACTCATCATTGATCTGTTCAGATTTTTCTATTTCTTCCTCCTTTGAACTTTCTAGCAATGTATACATTTTTTTTAGGTTATGGAATTGGTTGGCATACAGTTATTCATAGAAGTGTCTAGCTAAAGATTTGTCAATTTTATTTTTAAAAAACTAGCTTTTAATTTCCATAATCTTTCCAATTGTTTTTCTGGTTTACATTTCACTATTTCTGCTCTGATCTCTATTAATCTGTTCTTTCACTAATGTTGGGCTTAATTTGTTGTTGTTGTTCTAGTTCCTTAAGGATGTAAAGTTAGGTTGTTTACTTCAGATCTTTCTAACTTCTTAACATATGCATTTATCGACATAATCTTTCCTTTCAGAACTGCTTTTCTGTATACCATTAATTTTGATATGTTGATTTTTCCATTTTCACATTTTTGTTTTTATTTCCTTTTTGATTTCTTTTTGACCCACAGATTGTTCAGAAATGTGTTGTTTAGTTTCCACATATTTGTAGATTTTTAGCTTTCCTCTTGAT